ATTCTTTTGTTTTTAAAAAACAAAAAAACTTAATTCCATTGAAAATACAGTGGAATAATTTTTCAATTCAGTTCACTATGTTTTATGCATGAGTTATAAGCAATAAATCATGCTTTATGTTTACAACTTAAAAATAATATTCTGGATGAACTAGCAACCTAAAGATTTATTGGTTATGAATTTTTCCTTTGCAAAAAAGTTTTCTCTTTAAATAAATTGCAATCTTTCTTTTCAACAAGAACTTCTAGAATTGCAGACATTCTAGCCAAATTAATGCTCTTCTGTATTATATATGCATTGTGCAGGCATTTTGTTCTGCATAGTAATACTTTGTAACAGCTTAAGTAGCAGCTACATTCAAGTTAAATCATCAGTGTTGAATTCGTATGTCCTCATTAAGTTAAATAGTACATTCCAGACTTAGAATCAACTCTGTTCTCCTGTTTATAGTGCTAGTGTGTAGGTTGATAAGTAACTTTGGTAAGTCAGAGACATACTCCAGGATGTAGATCTAGGAAGGTTACTAAAACCATTTGAGTGGAGTCACTGATGGGTCTATTGGAAAGAACATGAAAACACCAGTGTTTGTGAATGAACTTAAGACCCCAAGGTAAGTACATTTCCTGAAAAAGTATCTATTATTGCATTAAAAAAATAATAATAAAAAATAAAAATAAAAAGCAAACAAACAAACAAACAAAAAAAACAGCTCAATTTTTTTAATGACACTTCTGACTGCTGTCCTGCTTAATGGTAACCCAGCAAACCACACACAACTACTGCCTTTCAGGGAAGCTATTTTGCTGAAAGAGGAAAAATAACTCAGGCAGAAGTAAAGAAGCAAGCAAAGAACAAAGTGCTTACCATCAAATGCTGTGCTGGGGTACAAAGTAGCCTGACACAAGCCTAAGTAATGATATAATGCAGCCCTCCAGCATGCAGGTGTATCTATTCTATCATCTAGAGGACATGCAAATCATTAACAAATGCAAAGAAGGAGCTGATGTTAGAAGATAAGTAACCTGCACCTGCAATCTAGAAGGCAAATCAAGACCTTAGAATGGTAGGCAAAATATATTGTTATAAAATCAGTTTGGCTTTAGAAATTAGGAAACCGATGCATATAACACAGTAGTTCAGTCTGTATCTTTTGATAGTTTACCAATATTTTGTTAGATATTTAGTTATTTTATCAAAAGAAAAGGAGAATCCCCATGCAAAAGTTTATAAACAATCTGAAATATTTATAATATAAAGATGTTAGGACAGTTTTACTGTTAAGAGACTGAGCGTTTGGCTTCTTTTCCTTTAGATTTGCATTTCGGTTTTGAAATTGTTTGAACTAATTACAGCAAACTAAATGCTGATTTTGCTTCATGTTTTCATCCTTTCCCTTACGATTAATTATTTTGCAGCCACTTTAGACAATATGTTTGCTTTTGTTTGTATGAAAGTGTGTTTACAAATAAAGAGGAAGCAGGGACTGACACTATGAAATTCCTTTCATTTTCATCCTACCACTAAATAAGCTCTACTCTGAATGTCAAATTAAAAGTAACTCGATTTCAAGCAAGATAGTTTCATGATTTAAAGATAATTTAATGTGAAGAAAGGCTGAAGAATTTGTCTTATATCTAAAAGCAGTAACTGGGAAAAAAGCACAGTGCAGATTTTATTATTTATTTATTTATTTATTTATTTTCTGAACATCTACTGGCTGCAAATTCCAGCAGTTGTCTCGGGGCAGTTGTCACAACTTTGGTAAAGCTTTCCAAGTGTCTGTGTTTTGTGATTTGGAATGTAAGTAAATACATATATATATATATGTAATATATATAATGAAGTGAGTTTGATGAGTTTGATCAATTAAGATTATTCATACTACTTAAGTTTCAATGCTGTGGACACAGAAGTTTTAATTTCACATACAACTTTATTTTGAGCAACCCAACTCTCACCAAGCCTTGTTGGTGGAAGAGATAGCTCTAAATAATTTTGCCTTTGGCCAATGAACATTTGCTGCCATTTGTCAACCAGTCTTGAACTGACCTCTGATAAAATTTTATTTAACATTTTAGACATAGGTTTTTAGTACTCCTCTGGAGTAAGCCCTAGAGAGTACTAAGTCTCAGATTTTTTTTTTTTCCTATAGCTGAGAAGATTATGTTAGATATTACAGAAAAGCCATAGTGACCTTATCCTCCAGTCTTTTCAGGTGTTAGACTTATGTGCTCACAAGTTTTAAGTTTATTCATGTAAAAAAAGATATTTAGCTTTGTACAATAAAGAAAATAATGTATCCCTTTTTAGCAAAAGATAGGCACCTGAACAAATTACATTATTTATATATACATATAAATAATTCTTTATAATATATATATATATAATTATATATAATAGTTACATTTTTCTCTCTGAGAATTTTGGGGCATAAGGCACAGATTCCCTTGGAATTTCAGTACTCTGTTCTGTTGCAGGTGGCTTTTCTTTCAAATCAAGTTTCACTCATCCCTACCCTACAATCAATTTTATTTTTCTTTAAGTGGCTCTTGTGATACGAAGAACCTCTCTATAGCAAGCCAAATACTTTTGTTCACTTTCTTTGCTAATTTATTACCATATCAGTAAATACTGGTGACATTTCAGACATTTTTTTCCCACTCCGAAAGCTTTCTCTTGGTGCACAATGCTACGAATACTGAAAAATGATGAAAAAAATGTAGAATTTATTTTAGTAATCCTAAAAACAGCCAATTTATTATACCTAATATACAGAAAGTTACTCTTTCTGCATTAATATACAAAGTAGAGCAAACAAGAAGATAGAAACTATCATAACATTCTGTCCAATGACATTTCAACAAGCATAGACACTCAGCATTCTAAACTATGGCAGAAGAATATTGTTTGCTGGGCACATTTTTGTCATTGGCCTTTTGGAAAGGATGTCTTTTTATCTCTTTCAGACTCTGCCTCTAACTTTGTGTGACCTTTGGCAAGTCCCATTACTTGGGTGTGCAGCATACATAAAAATGAGTAAACTGTTACTTTACTTGTTCTCTTGAGGTTTGTGAAGCTTAATTAGTGAATTGTATAAATCTTTTACAAATGTGAAATAAGGACAAAGTTTTATTGCCACAATTCCCTTGGGAAATGAGTTTCTTAGAGCTGTGGGAGATAATTAGTCACATTTTGCAGGCTGTACTGCAACTAAAACTGCCATTCAAGTAATCTCTTGTATTATATGAACAATAATTATCTTCAAAAAATTGTCAAGATCAGATGTGGGTTTTGGGTCACTTTTGGGTCTTTTCCTGTCCTTTCACAACTTGGAACTGGTTATGATTTGTTCCATTTCCTTTATTTTCTAATGGTGACAAATTTTCACCTTATTTCCAGATAACTGCTTATATTGAATGGATAGGAAATAAGTACTGCCTAAAAATTCTGCTTTATTTAGGAGCACGTTTCCCAAATCCTTAAGCAATTGTAATCCATATAAACTATAAACATTCTTTTAAAAATAATTGTAATTTAATTAAATAATTGGCTGTAGGTTTTCTTAGCTGATGTCATTAAGCCTACCATGAGCTCACAGCTGTCCATTTGAATATGTATTTTTCTTTGAATAGCCACTGTCAACATCGTTCTTTATTTTGAAAAAACATATCAGACATCAGCCTCATTTAGTGGAATTTCAGAGGCTGAACTCCCTGTGTGGCATCAATAAAGATATTGGCACACTTCTGAAAATGTATCTTATTGGCCGCTTTTTTTTTTTTTTTTAAGTGGATGCATGAAGATTCACAAACAATCCTCATGTTTTTATTTTCCTGATTTCTCTATCTCTTTTATTAAATTTTGTGACCTTTACCTCTTAATGGATATCTAAATTGACTTACTGTTTCTTTTTTTTACAGACAAATCCATCTAGTTACAGAAAGCCATCAGCTTATAGACAAAATTAGATTTACTTTCTCTTCATTATTTTTCTTTTTTTTTTCTTTTTTATTTTTCCCAAAATTTGATGTCATTTCACACAATCACAGAGTTGCCGGGGTTAGAAGGGACCTCTAGAGATCATCAAGTTCAACCCTCTGCTAAAGAAGGTTTCCTACAATAAGTTGCACAGGAAGGTTCCAGTTGGGTCTTGAATATCTCTGGAAGAGACTCCACAGTCTTTCTGGGCAGCCTGTTCCAGTACTCCATAACTCTGACAGCAAGGAAGTTCTTCGTGTTTGTATGGAACTTCCTGTGTATCAGTTTCTGCCTGTTGCCCCATGTTCTATAGCTGCAGATTCGCATTCTACTGTTTCTCTCTGAATCTCTGTCATTACAATCTATAGTCAGGGGAATTACAGTAATTGCTTACAAAAAAAAAACCTCCTATGGAATGAGTACTATTTGTGTTAATGTTCCAGTCATGTGACTTCATCAAATTTCTGTTATGTCAACTAATTCATAACTGTGATCACAATCATAATGTAAGATGCTTCTGTTTACATTTCTTACATTAATAAACATTCATATATGATGTTCATTAATTTGATTTACTACTTACTTTCTTCTTCTTCATTACAATGAATAATCCTCTCACCCTTTGTTCACAGCCCCTCTGCCAGGTGATTAAAAAGATAATAATTGTGCTCTGACCTAATTTAAAGTTTACAGTTAGCAAGTCAGTATGAAAAGGCTGTCTGTACTTAATTCTTCTATTCTGAGGCACTTATCACTCAGCAAACTGACGGAATTTCATCCTATAGAATCCTTAGAGTTCGAAGGGACCTCTTAATGCTATCTAGTCCAACTCTCCTGTAATGAATAGGGTCATCAATAGCTAGATCGGGTTGCCCAGGTCCTGATCCAGCCTCCCCTTGAAAGTCTCCAGGGTGGGGGCATCAACCACATCACTGTGCAACCTGATTCAATGCATCACCACCCTTACTGTAAAATATTTTTTTTCCTTACACCTAATATAAATCTACCCTCTTTGAGCCTAAAAAAAATTTGGACACTTCACGAATTTGTGTGTTAACCTTGCATAGAGGCCATGCTAATTTTCTCTGTATCATTCCAATTTTAGTGTATGCACTACACTAAACTAGTGTATGCAGAAGTCAGAACAATGGTATTGGAAGATTCTATTTGGAAATAATACCAACACAGATAGGCATAGGAAAACTTATATTAATGTCATCTATGCTTAGAGGATCCATTTCTAGCAGTATCAGTGTTGTTCTGTAAATGAGAAGCACAGAAGAGTAGCCTACTCAAAAGGTAACCTGTAATATACTTTCAGTAACAACCTGTATTTTGGTCTCCATATACGTGCTGTTTCTTACAAACTAGCCTATTGCTCATCAAAAATTTGGGCATCCTGCCTGGCTGTGAGATACAGACAATACTTTGGGTTATACTACTTTGGGGAATTCTGTTGTGGACTTGCAAAGAAGTATCATGATAAAATAAGCCCCAGTAGCAAGATGTTTCTCTAATTCTCTTTCAGTAGTCCGAATCATGCTGAAGAGGAACATCTTGAATTTTTTATTAAATCTTCAGTATTAAGAAAGTTCATAAAGAGAAGGATGAGTGCAATACCACCTAAATGATGCTAGTGTGCTAACCCCTAAGTAAGCCAAACTAAAGCCAGAGTCACAAAGCATTTCTGTAGTCCTAACAGAGAATTTTCTTTGCTTTTTAAGGAAGAGAGTTCACTTTCCTACTGACATTTATAGACCATTTCAAACAGGACCTCCAGATCCTTCAAGGGTCTATAAGAATCATTCCTCTCCGTACTTCATTTAAATATCTACCTGCAATCACATACAGAACATTCATAGAATCATAGAATGGCCGGGGTTGAAAAGGAACACTATGGTCATCCAGTTTCAACCCCCTGCTATGTGCAGGGTTACCAACCACCAGACCAGGCTGCCCAGAGCCACATCCAGCCTGGCCTCGGATACCTCCAGGGATGGGGCATCCACAGCCTCCTTGGGCTACCTGTTCCAGTGTGTTACCACCCTCTGTGTGAAGAACTTTCTCTTAATATCTAACCTAAACCTCCCCTGTCTCAGTTTAAGTCCATTCCCCCTTATCCTATCACTATCCAACCTTGTAAACACTCGTTCTCCCTCCTGTTTATATGCTCCCTTTAAGTACTGGAAGGCCACAGTGAGGTCTCCCCAGAGCATTCTCCAACCTAAACAATTCCAGTTGCCTCAACCTTTTCACATAGGAGAGGTTCCTTAGCCCTGTGATCATCTTAATGGCCCTCCTCTGGACCCACTCTAAGAGCTCCACACCTTCAGAAGATGTTCTCTCAAGTGAAACAGCATAGAGAGACAAGAGACAAAATCTACACTCATGGTTCTATGTGTAATCACAATCCTGGTACCATGTTAGATTGGATGAGGAAATTAGCATTGTATTATAGAGAACATCTGATACACATATTCCAACCTATTTTCCCTCAAAAAGAAATGCATTTCAAATTTTTATCATAATTTGTGCTATGGTAGAAAGCAGTATTTTAATCAGTCAGTGGAAAACAAAATATAATCTGTTGTGCTTCATTTCAGCAGTCTTATTAGTCTTACATTACCAGAAAGAAACCCCATGGTAAGTCATATCTATAGATCAAATAAATTATCTTTATTTCCTTCCATTAGCAGGTTTCCCTGAATATTAACAGAAAATCTTTCACCTGATGCTAGCAAAAAGCTTGTAAAACATTGATGACACTTTTTTTTTTCATGTATAACAACATTAAGAAACTATTTACTCTAATTTCTATGAAAGATTTATAATTTTTGGAGCAAAATAGTCTCTATTGAATCTAGCTGTTTTAGTTATGAAACTCTGGAAGGTAGGTCTCAAACCACTGCACAGAACAAGGAGGCTGTTAATAAAAAAAATATTGTGGATCTATGCAAAGAAGTGTGTTCCTAACATTTTGCTTCCCTTTTCTACTAAATATTCATTCGTGCATCTCATCCAAGTGAGAGAAAATGAGAGAGAAGAAATCTGAAATGTGCACATCCGTCTTCTCTATGTGTTTTCCTTGTTCTCTACGCACAAAAAGTATTAAATTCCATCTGAAAAAGGATCCACAGAGAAACAAATTATAATATTGTGCTCACTTGTGTTTGTAAATGTTTCAGTCAAAAATTGGCAGCATAGTTGTCTGCACATTTTGTTCTGAGATATGATATGTTACTGGCATCCTGAAGAGAGGCATTTTGATAAGCATGCCCAGGCTGAACTAAACAGTTCTTTATGAGGATAACCTAAATGGGAAGCAGCATAGTATAACTTCTTTCCCCATTTGCTTGAAGATTGTCATCAATTCTTGACTATTCCAGTTTATATTTTAGCACTGGAAGATAAAAGTTATTTCTGTCTTTCCAAGTTTTATTTTTTAATTTTGTTTCTGGTTGGTTTTTATTTTTTTTCCTTTGGTTCTTTCCCAAAACAGATGTTTTTCAGCACAACATTTATATAGAATTTTATTCCAAAGTGATCAGACAGTAAGTATAAAATATGACCAAGTTCTGCTGCATTTTTTTCTCTTTTTGTTTCTCTTAACTTGTGGTTAAATGTCAGTAGCAGGTGATATTTGAATCACTTTCGGACACTGACTAATGTTTTGCTAATGTTTAGGCACGGCCTTTGAACATATTGCTGAATACTGTTTCCTGTCTAAAGTATTAATATTATCAGTATTCACTTTCATTATTGCTATAGTCAATGTTGAGAATTAAAGCAGATACTTTAAAGGCTTCCGATTACATGTAATCATTGGATCTGTTCTTGAGGAAAACTTCAGTCCAAGTACTGCTGCAAACACCATGGCAAGCCTGCTATACAGCACCTCTAGCAGGATTGCCTTCACTGTTTTAACTGATATGAAACATTTATTCCCAAAAATTCTTAATACAATCAAAACTCTGTACCTGGAACAGCTCTGCATTAGCTCCATACAGATTTTGACTTAAGTTGGTTAGGCTTTCATTGCTGCCCTTGACTGAAAACATCAAACTGAAATGTTGCAGGGCAATATGTTGAAAACTATGTTGAAAAACGTATTCTTGGGAAGGTCATATATATATAGATATATTTCTGTAAGATGAAACACAGACAGACACAGCCATTGATTTGTGAAGGTTATGTAGAGAGGGCAGATCTTGTTGCAGTTTTCTGATTCTTTCTATTCACAGAAAGATTTTGAAAAAAATTATGTAATCTTTAGGGAAGAATCACAACTGCTAGTCAGTAAGATAAATATCTTCCAGTTTATGTCCCACAGTATCTCTTAATAAAGGTTTTATATTCTGGCTGAAACAGATTACAATGGAATGTGAGATGGAGATAACTCCAGAATAAATACTACTGAATAAATTATTTGCCAAATTTTGTAAATCTTGAAATCAAACATATTAAATTTGTCTCCTATGGATAATGTTAGTGCATTAACAGTTTCAATTACTATTTTTCATTTCTCTGTCTTGTGTGTTTTAATTTTTTCTCTGATCTTTGTTTTTCTTCACAAAACCTTATAATGTTTTATGAATTGAAATTGTCATTAAATCTGCCAGTAACCCTGGCTGCTAAGAGAGAAGACTTAACCTCTTTGGAAGAGAGATTTTGTGTTGTCAAGCACAGAAGAATAATAAAATATTGTTGTAGTCACTTATTTAAATTAAGTAACAGTAAAAAATTTCCAGAAATTTCTATACAAACTGCAATAAAACTGACTTTTATGCTGAATTCTTCATGAAAAGTGGAGAGACACTTTGGTAAATCAAAAGAGCAATCAAGCTTGACATATTGACAGACAACAAAACCCTTTAACATAAAAAATAAGAGATTCCAGACAGTGGAATGAACCCTTATTGTCATTGTAAAAGGTTTGCTGGTGTGTCTGGGTACAAGCATGTGTCTCTGGAAGGGGATGGAACCATTAACAGTCCTCTGCAGAACAGTGATGAATTAGTTCTTCCTTGTGAAATGAGTCCATGGGCAATAAATACACTCCTCCCTTTTGCTTATTAGGAAAGATTCAATTCAGTTTTGTTCTGTGAAGGCACAAAAGGCCTATCTACCAACTCTGAAAGGGCTGACTTAAACTGTGAGTCAAATACATGCAGGATGAAGCTCTCTCAGCTGCTAAAGCTGCTCCAGCTTCCATGGAAATTCAATTATCATAAGAAAGATTAAAACAAACAAAAAACAAAATAATAATTATTATTAAAAAACAAAACAAAACAAAACAAAAAAACCCTAAACAACACTCTCTTGTTATATCTTGTCCCTGTTGATCACTCTGGGGAACAAGGAAACCAGGGAAAAGTTCAATTCTAGTCCACCAGGTAACAGCTTTAATTACCATAACTTCAATGTTCTTACTTTATGTCTGGCTGTTATTATGTTTATCTGGTAAGCAAGTCCTGAAATCTTCCTGCTCAGGCTTCACAGGCAAGTGAACATCTCTTTGAGAAATCCTGATATGGCGTTGATGTCAATGAATTACCATTGCTCTATTTCACATTACACACTGTTGAGTAGCACGTCTACTGGTAGAAACTTAAGCACATGGGGAGCATCCAGTACAAAGTGTATGCATAAGGACTATATAAATATTCAGAAATATTAGCAAAGACTGACCTGGGATTTCAAAGATCATTTTCTGAAGCTGAGTACCTACAAACTATTATGAAATAAACCCTGATGTCCTTCACATTTCTTTCTCTGTTTTCAAAAACAGCTCCAAGTTTTAATTGCATAAAAATATTTGCTGCTAACACTGGAATAAACAAAGCAAGCAAGTGCTTTTAGCTACAAAAAATCCCAGTTCCAGGTAATGCACTGCTCAGATCAAAAATCAATATTGTAAAATGTACTTGGTAAAAATAAATTAAATATGATAGCCACTTGGACTTTCTCTGCAATTTTTTCTTCTATTGTTTTTAACTCTTTCCTACATCAGATGACTTCTATATAACAGAAATATCTACTATTATTAATTCTTCGTTTATGATATTTTACATAATTTTTATCTTGGATTTCAAGGAAAATATAAACATAAAGTTTTCAGAGTAGCTACAGA